TTAGAATTCAAACAGACAAGCACCTGCCACACAACACCCCAGACTTAAGAAAGATAAAAAAAGTCTGGCTCGTGGACAGTGCAATACCTGGAGACAGCAGAATAGAAGAGAAAGAACTGGAGAAAATCACAAAATATAAAGACCTGCAAATAGAAGTAGAACAATTATGGCAAAAGAAAGCAAACGTAGTACCAATAGTTATAGGTGCCTTAGGTGCAATCCCAAAACATCTGGAGCACTATTTGAATACCATCGGCATGGACAAAATTACCATCAGTCAATTGCAAAAGGCAGTTTTACTTGGAACAGCTTATATCTTGTGATGATACCTTTAACATCATCAAACCATCAAACAATAGCTGGCTATCCCAGGTCCTTGGGAAGGACTCGATAGGTGGATAAAAATGCCAAATCCAGTTTAAACATCTGGCTGACTATGTGACTAACCATAATAATAATAATTGTATGCCATCTGACTCCCAACCTCTGAGTGGCTCACAGTAATCAAACAAAGAAATTACAATAAAATCAACAAAAGATAAAAAAGATGGCAAGCGCAACAGCCCAGATGGAATGAAATGAGGGGTCTCACTCTCCCTCACAAAAGGCCTGGGTGGTAGCTTTGAATCATACCTTGAACCCAGAAAGCAAACTAGCACCTGGTGCAGCTTGTGAAGCAAAGGTGTTACATGGGCACATCAAGGTATGTCCATCATTGCTCCTGCTGCTGCATTCTGGACCAGTTGAAGTTTCTGGATGGTCTTCAAGGGCAGCCCTATGTAGAGTGCATTGCAGTAGTCAAGCTGCAAGGTGACTAGGGCATGAGTGACTGAAGGGCTCCCCAATCTAGGAAAGGGTGCAACTGGCGCACCAGATAAGTTGTGCAAAGGCCTTCCTAGTCACAGCTGCAATCTGCTCTTCAAGCAGGAGCTGCAAGTCCAGGAAGACTCCCAGACCGCACAGCAATCTTGAAGGGGGAAGTGCTATCCCATCCAAGGTCAAAGATAGAACATCTCTGGCCCTGGAGAAAGGAAGAGAACCCCTGTAAAATGGTACCTCCAATCCCCAACTCATGGGGTTGTTTCAGAAGGATACTGTGATTAATGGTATTGAAAGCTGCTGAGAGATCAAGGAGCACAAAGATGGAGGCATGACCTCCATCCTGGTTTAACCACAGTTCATCAGTAAGCATGACCAAGGCTGTTTCAGTACTAAATCCTGGCCTGAAACCTGACTGAAACAGGTGGAGTTTCAGTCAGGTAATTGTTGAGGTGGAGTGGAGTACAGCACTGAAATTACAGAGTACGAACACTAACTGGATATGACCTCATGTCAAGTTTAATGCATATGTTTAAAAACAACAAATCTATCAATAGTGTGCGTGTGTGTGTATTTCTTTCTTTCATTCATTTTCAGAGCAGTGATCCTACAAGGAGAGATCTGCAAAGTCAGGCTGATGAGCTAAAGAGGATCCAGGATTGGATAAACCTCAGATTTCCTCCAGAAATTGTGAGTGCTGTTTCCCTTGCCTGTATTTATCTTCTTTGGCCAAACCTGGTGTCACTCTGAATGAGGGATTTCTTTGTTTTCTCTCTCAGCAAGTCCTGAAGAGAAGCATCCAGAACCTGCAGAATTCCGCACCTCAGATTCCAGTAAGCAGGCTGGGTGGAAGTGAACATTTGAGAAAGAGGCCTTTGATTCCAGGATTCCCAAAGATTTCTGCGAAGGACCCTCTTTGAGATATTTCAGAAGTTCTGCTAGGGGACAATCTGTTCAGGCCTTGTGATAGAAGCAGAAATTTGCGATATCATGTTACTAAGTACCAGTTGGGGAATTCAGAAATTTATCTTGGCATAAGAAGGTTTTAAATTTATTAGGAAGACTGAAAAAATTGAGGGGTTGGTAGACATCACACAAAGGAGAGTATGGGTGTGGAAGGCAGCTCTACAGCATTAGCAAGCTGTTTGCAGTGAATACTATTAATTTAAAATATTTATCAGCCACAATCCCTACATCTCATGTTTAATGTTCTTAAAATATATCAAAGGATTTGTCTTGGCTTTTGATATGCTGTGGATATGCGATGCAAGGTGTATAAGGTGTTTTTCTTGAGTGGCCAGCCCAGATATACTTGAAAAGTAGCCTTTGAATGAACCTAACAGTGATGTATCCCACCAGAAACTGATAAACTTCACGCTGTCGGAAATAGATAAGACCGATTCATTTATAAAGCATCAGACTGAGGAAGTTATAAAAAATGTAAGTCTTCATCAGTAACTCAGTGTGTTTATTTTATTTATTTATTATGTGTGTAAACTGCCCCAACCAGCCCCAACACTTTGGCCAGAATTGACCTACCAGCAATCTGAAGTGGGACACAAAAACAGGGCAGGGGATGAGCAGAATCTCCAGGATAGGGCATATTACTTCCTAGGGCTGCGTATGCTTAAAAATCATTTAGAAAAAGTGCTTCAGAGATTGTGGGAGTGCTGTTGTTCATTAAGTGGCCTAAAGGAAAAACGCTGCTACTTCAAGGAATCCACTCATTAAAGCTAATGGATAGATTCCTTAGGCTAGCTTCAAAACCTGAAAAAAAGTTATGCTTCTTTCATGAATAGCAGTACAGTTCTGCTGTCATGCTTGCAAGAAATCTGAAGGAGTTCTTCTGAGTAATTTAAACATGTAGAGCCTTATTACCTTTAGCTGATCTTGCATGAAACAGCTTTACTCTCTCCCTCTTCCCCCAAGTCTTCTAGAGCTTCATTTCCATTCATGGAGCTGCAATGAAATTTATATAGGATATTTATGCTCCAAAACTCATGAAGCTGCAATGCAGTTTATACAGGATATTTATACTCCATAACAGAACCATTTCCTGGGCTTGGAAAAGGATTCTCTATCCTCTTACTAATACTCTTTTCTACTTCCATCTAGGAGACGAAGGTTTTTGCATGGCGTGTGCTGGGTTACTTTGCCTCTTACCTGAACTGGGCTCAGGATGTTGTAAGTATTACCAATTATTTCTGGTGGAATAAGGCTGGATTTACGCTCCCACCTTGCCAAAAATATGGAGTTATCTGTCCTTGTTTAAGCCCTTACCCAACAATATGGGTAAGGCATAATTAAGGCTCAGAGGCATGACTATTTTTTAATCATAACCTATCCATTCCCTTGGTATGTTTTAGGGAGGTCATTAGGATGTTTGGTGACCCAGACCAACCTTACTATTTGTTTGGATGTGCTAATTGTGTTTTGTTAACCTGAGTTTAGGTTTAGTATGTTGTATGAGGCCAGCCACTGACATTTTCCCTTATTTTTTAGAGTGAAAATGCAGAATACAATTATTGAGTGATTGAACTTTTCCTACTGGGTTGGAAAAGAAATTTTGTGGAAGATTTCAAAATATATGGTGGTCAAAATGATGAAAATCAGTGTCCAAGAGAAGACTGGGGCTGGGTTTACTCTGATGAAACTTCTAATGAAGTATTGTTGTTTTTACATTTTTGTTGGCAGATCAAAGGACAAGTGGGTCGCTGTGGCCCTGTAGCCTGGGCACTGGATAGCGTGAATGTCGTTGTCTGCAATTACACCGTTGATTCTTTGGTGAGGAAATCAGCAGGACTAGTCAGCATTAATTGGGATGCAGGATTGCTAAATATGTCAACATGGATAAGGCAAGAGATGGTAGTTACAACCAAGGGTGTAACATTGAATTGTACATGTGAGGAGCACATTATAGTTGTCTTGGGAGTGAGTTTGCTGTGGCTACGCATAAGTGTCTTAATTTTGAGAAAAGATGTAGAGAGAAATTAGAGATGCATATACACACATAAAAGCTATGCCTTCTGAATAGAAGCTGGAGTGGGATGTACATAAAGAAGGCTCTAATGCAGTGTTAGGACTGGAAAGGTGCAAATACCTAATGTTTGAGGATATGTCCATCATTAAAGATGCTTCTCTTGGCAGCCTCGGTCAACTGAAGCTATGCTGAAGCAGTTGAAGCATTGCCTCTGACACTTTATCCCTTCTCTTTCCCCCTCTTAGAATGCCTTCTGGTTCAGTCTGGCCTGGTGCACTGTCTTTCTGTTGCCAAGTATCATCTTGGCTGTGCGGCTTGCCAAGTTTTATCGCAGAATGAGCGTCGATGACATATATGAGTAAGAGTGATTTATTATGTTGTGAGGTATGCTGCCTCTGGCTATGGGCTGCAGTCTTTCTCTTTTCCCAATATCGTCTATGTACTATAGTTTGAAAATCTCTTCAGGATCGTATGTGTAAGCACGCCCAACCTCCTGGGACTACATTCCTTGGAGCACTGCTTCAGAAATGTGATCTTGCCATAGCATAGCTGTAAACTCTCCCTTTCCCTGCCTCACTTTCTGATAATGTCCAGTTCAATTGCTACAATATTTTTTGTAGTTTCCAGTTTAGACTTTGTGGGAACTATCATGTGGGAATGGCAATATAAATGTCATTGATACTATCCCTTTCTCCTATTAGGGATGAGATTATGGAAAACTTTGAACTGTAAGTATCTTTCCGTATCTTTAATCTATCATTGCTATACAGCATTGATGTTCAAACAAATGTCAGTACTAGGCTAAAGAAGAGCCATTTAATTAGTACTAAAGGAGTGTGGAAGCCATTTGGGGTGTAGAGTATACCCAATATAGTGTAGGCAGATCCCTGTTCTGGTGTTAGTACTTAAAAGAGAACAAACAATGTTCTGCAGAGTGGGAAACAACCATCATTGAAATAAGCTGACATTTTTTATTGCATGCTGACTTTGATTACAGACAAACAATGCTTGGGATGGTGCTAAGACGTAGTGTGGTGGTAGTGTAGAGAGGATTTTTAAAGCCGTATCTTAGCATGAACCAACAGTGAGGAACTGAGAGCTGCCAAAAAAAGGTCTGAAGTTTGCTATTCCCAAATTGTCATTACCTTTATTGTCACCTACCAACCATTGAGATTCAGTCTTCTCATTTTCTTCTTTTTCCATTGCAGATCAAGGCAAAACATGTTCAAAATGCCCCGGGCTGAGTTGAGGAAATAACATCTCCTTTTTCAACATTCCATCTCCGAGCAGCTATGAAGATGAAAAACAGTGGTCTAGAGAATTTTTGGATTTCTCTTGACAGTGTTGAGTGTGTGGATCATTACTTTGTCACAATTTTTTCCTGAACAAGTTTGCAATATGGCAGCAACTTTTTCCCTACAAGAGAGACTATTGTGCCATAAGCCCTGTGACATGGAAGTTTAGTTTGGCTGTATCCTCAGGGTATTGAGAGGTTGTGCTCTACTGTAGAGTTTAGGCTTGCAGTCTTTATGCTATGTCCTTTCTACAGGAAAGGCTCCTTATCCTCAGGAGACTCCAGAGTCCTTAGATTTCAGTGCCTGATATCACTGCATGCTACTGAATTACCCTACAGACCCCAATAGGCAAGCAGTTGAAATTGCACTATTTATTTATATTGAGATGGAAAGAAAGAGAAGGGCATTATGTTAAGAAGTCTCTTCTGCTTCAAATCAATCTAGATCTTTTTTTTGTGGCGCAGTTAAGATGACTAACACTGGCCTACAAAGAATTTATAGTCATGACAAGAAATGTGACAGGCAACATAGCAAAACTTCTTTAATTCTTTGAACCTCAGCAGTCCTCCACTGTGTTCGAATTTAGAAATCTTTGCTAAGTTAACTTGAATTACAAATAGTGCCTTGCTGCACTAAATCAAAATCCACACCTACTCCAAAGATTGACATTCTGGAGAGAAAGCAAATATGAGCCATAATGAAACACTTTTGAGTACTTCTATTAATCTGTGCATCAGGAAGAATGAATTGCCTTAAATTTTATCTAGAGCACTTTCCAGATTTGTGTCTTGTTGCTTCACTATACCACTGCAACCTGGGGTCATGTATGCTTCTCTCTTTCCCCCTTCCTCACATCCTCCAATACTTGATTTGCATATTTTGGGCATTTTATACCCCCCTCCCCCAATCATGTTGAACCATGAAAAAGTATTTTGCCAGAAGTGTGGTTCTCCCATGTGGTGGGGAAAATGTTAATAGAATTAGATATTGTTTATTAAGGAATTAGTAGTAGGAATGGATGCATTTAGATTAATGCAAAATGAAAATGACTCCAATAATAAAAGGGAATGATAGAACCATTTGGAAGAAGAATGCCACAAGGCTTCTATTCCTTTTAGATTAGCTTCATCTGCCCTGGGGCACTCTGGATGTGAGGAATTACAACTGACATAACTGGAAGCCAGAACGAGTTCCACAACACTGGAAATTTGCAGTTTGGGGAAAGATTGGACTAGCAGCAGAAAATATTGTGCTTTTTTTAATGAGTCACAGACTCATTAATCCAGAGTATGGCACATAAACTAATTGTGCAATGTGTTGGTCTGAATGTAAAATTACAAATTTTATTTCAAAGTATTGAATGTCAGGAGGGTAGATCATGTATTACTTAAACTTTCTGTTGTCCAATCTGCATATAAAGCTTTTAAAGAACCCATTTGTATTTATAATAAAATTTAAATCAGATTCCCAGCTGAGTAGCAGAAACCTTTTTTATGCACTTACCACCTTTTGCACAACATTGTTCTTCCTCCAAAAACAACAGTGGCAAAATTATTTCTCCTTCCTTCTGGCTCTAAATTAGCTTTGGTTAATGAAGAATGTGTGAAGGGTTACTGTACAAGAGAGAGTAACAAATGAAATCCTATTGATCATGAAATATGAAAACATTACATAAAATATAACACTTTCTCATCTCACCTAGCTCCAGGGGGAGGGCTCACATTCCCGAATGTACAGAGCAACAAGCATGCAAATTATTAGAGGGCAACACACACACACTTTCATTCGCTTATTACTTGGACATAATTAACAATGGCCTTCTCCTAGCAAATTATCCACAACTCCATCTCTCTCTCTTCTAAAGAGTTTAAGAAAAAGGGTTTATGAAAACCTACCACAGATGAGAAGCAAGTTGACATTGTTGTCATGCTATGGATCACTTAGCACAGGACAGTAATTTTCCCCAGCAGCTCCACTTTATGCATTCTGTCTTATTTCCACTAAGTTTTAAGATATTTTCAATTGCTTGGATTACATAATTTCTAAGTAAAGGTTTATTTGATTGTATGAAGGAACAGGCGTGAAAAGGAATAATCTAGAGTGAAAATAATTACACCACTCTCCCCCCTCTCCCCAACTGCTTTATTGATAAAGAGGCTTGAATCTGTGTAAATGTTTTTGTTTCACATGTGAATGAATATTCTTATTTTCATTGGTATATTGTTTATTTTGTCTTTCATTTGTAAATTCAAAGAAATTACATTTTTCATGACTTTTATAGGATTTAAGGTAGGCTTTGGATACTTAGCATTATAGACTGTTGGTCCCCAAGAATGAGTTCCAAAAAGATGCCATCTTGCTGCTACTGGAACTGCAGTGTTAAATATTAACATAAATTGGTCCAAGAATAAACCATCACAATAGCACTTTTGGACCTTGCTTGAAAATTAGCTGGTATAGTATCAGAAGGAACTCCAAGATGATCAGGAAGCTATGTTTTTCATTGGACTCAAAAATACATATGATCCTTAATGAATAAAAGAAACCTAACTCCTATGATAGTTTCAATTACTATTAAATATAATGTTGGTGTATTTTTGCAATGGTGTGACAAATGCTTATTTAACAGGAGCACCTGCCTTCAAATCCAATGTTTGACCAAGCCAGAACATCCACTGAGAAAAGGTAGCTGTTCAAGTATCAAATTAATAATTATTATATGCTTATACATCTAACAAAGAAACAAGTTACTTGTTCTCTTGATATTTAGCAGTCATTTCCAACTCCCCTCCCATCATATTATGAAATCTAATTTCAGGTTGGTTAATATCTCTTGCTTAATTCTGTTTGAATTGATATTTTTAATCTACTCTTCCCTGAATGTTCCAGTTAGAGAATCTAAAGGCAGGGATATTAAATCTATAACCGTTTTACAGAAGCTGGGAAGTTAAGAGTGTAGCTCTTAAGCTATGGCTCAACAGACAAAGAGGCATTGATTGCTAGCAGTTTGCTTGCTGTAGTTTTCCTTCCCAACAAAGATTTGTTTTCTTAGCTGAAATTCTTCCAGGTCAGACTATGATTTATCTACTAGTGTTGGTTCTCATTAACAAGTAAACTCAGGCTGAATTAACAATACAAATACTGTAGAAGATACACACAGCTGGGTGCACATGCCTATGCCAGGTACTCTGCAGCATAGCACAAAATTCTCTAAGGGTGGTGGTTATCTTTCAGTGTTGCATATAGGATAAGAAACAGCTTCCAAAAAATCAGAAAAGCATTATAAAATAAAGTTGTTCATAAAAAGTAGCTTTAAAAGCCTACTATTTCTCTGCCAAGTTACTCAAGATAGGCAGGGCACAAAGGATCCAGGCAAATCATAAGGTTAATTACCCTCTCACCCCTACTTCATTAGGACAAACATCTAACCCACTGAAGTCCAGCATTAACAAAGAATCCATTAATTGTAAAGAGAGGAGGAAAACGCTTGGCTTTTAATCAAGGGGGCATTTTTTTTAAACCCGTAACATTTTAAAATAGCTCTGGGCTGAGGAAGCCTGAGGTTTACTGAAGAATGTATATCTGTAAAAAGTAGTAAATGTAGATTTGGGATGGCCAGTTTGGTATGAGCCCAGCATTTGTGTTCTTTTATCATCCATGCCTCCCTTCTTTGCTTTCTGACAGAGTAAAGGGAGACTTAGAGCTGCCCTTGACTTCTGCGACAAGTCTATCTTCTACCCCAGAAAGGGGAAGCTCACAACTGGAAAGAACAATATTTGCTTTGCACCAAAACTCGCAGATTGCCAAGGCAGTAATGATACTCAAGCCTAGTCAAGGGATACATTAGCTTTCATTCATGTTTCTCAGATATCAGGGCAGGGTCCTATGTAACCACAGAGCCTTTCCCCACTAAACAGTCACTCAGAAAACTTTCCAAGTGTGGGAAAGAGGAACAGAATTAGAGCATAAACAAAATAATGGAAAACATATCTGCTCGTGATCATCTTCTCAAAATGGGTGGGGAACCTGTGACCATCCTTAATTTCCAGCATTTCTAAGCCTTAGTCAAACTGCTTGGGATTCTACAGAGTTGTAGTTCAGCAAACCTGAGAGGGCTTCAGATTCCCTACTCCTTCTCTAATAGTTTCCACATAGATCCCATTCCCAACCAGACCATAAGTTGGCAGCAAAGCAGCTGTTAAACCTACTTTTTAAACAGAGAATTGAAGTGTACAACAGCACTTGCTTTTATTCAACAGGCTACCTCCTTTTTGGATCATATCAAGGAAATTCTGCAGTTCTAAAAAGGATCCTGTCAGTTTCATAAGAGTTAAAATCACCAACTACCTACCCAAAGAAAAAATATTCATGGTTAGACCAGTTAAAGACCCCTTTTCTTTCTGTTAAATCTATGTGGAAAGTGGCCCTACCTATTGTTAGCATGTAGGACATGGATGGAGAACCTGGAGCCCTCCTGATGCTGTTGAACCACAACTTCTCAGCCCACAAAGCTAATGGTCAGAGATGCTGGAAATTGCAGCTCAGCAAAGTTTGGAGGGCACAAGTTCCTCATCTCTGATGGACAGTACTATCTTTAATTAAATGGTAATTAGTCTTAAGCAGAGTGGACTAATTAGAAAATTGTCAAGGGTTGCATTGTAGTAGCACCTTGCTTCAAGTCTTGCTATTCTTTTAAAGCAGAGAAAGATTTGCTTAAATTTAAGAGATGTAGCATTAGAGAGAATTATACTTTCTTACAAAGAAGCAGGGTATAAACTATTATAGTGAATCTCTTCCACTTCTCTAAAAAGCAAAAGATAAAGGCCACTATAGAGGACAAAGGTGTGCATAGATAATGCAGTAGAAACAGCTGGGGCTTCCCCTGCTGTAGATAAATATTGCTTGGTTAAATCTGTGATATATCTGGGGAGTGATTTTTTCAGAGAAGCAGCAGCTGATATGATTGCATTTAGGGAGTTTCAAAAGCATTAGTTTCAGGAGGAAGTAAGGCTGGTAAATGAAACCTATTAGGCTTATTATCAAGAACCTCCTCTCCCCCAACCCCCTTAAGAAATAACAGTGTAGAGAAGCCTTCTCCAACCTGATGCTCTTCAGATGCCTTAGACTACAATCTTCATCAGCCCCCAATCCACATAGCAGCCACGTGCATTGGAGGAAGACTACTTCTGAGCACAACAGAATGCTGCTCCTCAGCAAAACTCATATACAAATATAGCTGATGAATGCAGATTGGCATGTTATCAGAATATCAACCAGTCTCATATTATTATTCATGAAAGGATGGGAGTGCATCACTAGTAGTATTTCAGGCAGTCCTGTGTCATTCTTATATACAGCTGTCCCCAGTCTGATGCTTTCCAGATGTACTAGAAATATAATCCAGAATTCTCATTTTGAGAATTATAATCCCAACACACCTGAAAGGTTAGGAAAGAGATGCCTTTATTTACCCTAGTTTAAAGATATAAAAAGCTTCCAATCCTTCCTAGAAGCTCTGCACTCTTTCAGATAAACTCATTGGCAATACATGATTCTTGATTTAACCTCCTACTTTAGCTGGGTGAGCTTGGAATATAAAGACTGCAGCTCCTAATTCTTCTAGAACCATTTTTCAAATACCATTTTACCTGTTTCAATCCTTTTCACACCACCTTAGACATTGAAAACTATGTTTGGTTCTGAAAGAAGGTTAGATCTTCCTGGGAATCTGCTTTTGGAAGAGATTGCTGGTGTCTGGGTGGTGGTGGGGGGGGAAAGGATGAGCCCTGTAAGACATGACCAAAAATTTCATTCTGGGATGTTTGACTCTGTGCCAGTCTGTACAACAGTGGTTTGAGCAGAGCAATAGTAAGTTGGGATGACCCATCTTGTGGGAAAGGAAATGGGTTGAGTTCTGCCGATGCTACATTTTGCTGAATAATGCTCAAGACATCAGAAGCGCTGATATCTGCAGGGCAGAGCTCCCACAACTTGTCCAAGTAAGGGTCTAGTGCCCGGTGCTGGGAAAACTCCCCCAAGAGGTTAATAAAAATCTCTTTGTTCAGCAAAGGGCTCAGCAAGGAGAATTTCTCTGCTGTCTCCATCACACGCTGCCATCTCCCATATTGGATAAGGAGATCCATGGCCTGGAGGATTGCTTTGGGCCGCTGGCTACAGAGCAGGAGTTCAATTTCCATTTCTCCATCTGCTACTGGACATCTAGCACACCTTGGCAGTATAGCCAGTGCTCTCTTGTAGAGGGGCACACCAACCTCAGGGCCCTCCTTGCTTTTATAAGTCCATGAGACACCCAAATATTGCTGGGATAGTTCTACAAAGGGAGGCAACCATTTAGGCTTGAACTGGAGAAGAGAAAGACAGACAAGTTCAAAGAAGGGGAATACTCCATTTGGAGGGCCTTCTTCTTGCTTGCTTGGGTTAGGAGCAGCTCCCCCCAGAACTTTTTTCCATATATCTGGAGTGGCTCTGGCTACCAGAACGCCATCCCCATTCTCTTGTAGTTGGAGATGATTCTGGATAGCTTTCCAGAAAGCCCCAGGGAAGGCAGTAAATATGACATTCAGGTATGTCAAATTCTCTCTATTCAAGTCCAAATGTAGAAGGCGGCTAAGTTCTTGCTCCACCAGTGCTTCACCATAGCTCTCTACCTCACTTTCTGAGGCCTGAACCACACATGACTTGAGGAACTCCAGGTTCTCATAGTTCTGCAGTTCTAACTGCATTGTGCCCAGTAGCTTGGTATAAGGTTCTGGGAGGGCCCTGAGCTTTTTTCCTTTGGGATCAAGACTATGGCACAGGATGGAAGACAGTGCAACAGGAGCCTGAAACATACCCCCCTTCTTCAGTTTCTCCACAGTGAGTTGGGAGCTACTAAGACTCCGTCTTTGATAGTATTTGCAGGCTTCTTCGAACACCATCTGCACCAGGCTGGGTTCAGGCTGGCAGCCTTGATCAATGTCTGAGAAGTCAAGAGTGTAAATGCCATTCTCAGCAAGGAGCTGGACTTCCTCTATAATAGGAGAATCCAAAAAATGCACTCCTTTGGTGTTCAGGATTTTTTTTTCTATCAGCTCTCTACTGTTCAGATCTATAAGATAAAGAGTCTCCTTCAGCAAGCAAGCCAGGATGTTCCCAAATACCTTTATTTGGACCTGCTCCCCTGAAGACAAAATGCTTCCTGCAAAGTCAAAGACAGGTCGCCACACACCATTAGGTTGGACTCCCTCTACTGTGCCTGTTTGCATAATGAGGAGGAGCTCTCCACAACTGGATAGGGCACAGCTGTGTACACCCAAATATTCCATGGATGCCAAGAGTCCCACATAGCTCAGCACTAGCTTCTTGAAGTCCACTTCGCTGCCTGCATGTGAGGCTTTTGTGGAAACACACAGACCATGTGGCGCAGCAATAATAATATCAGCCATTTCAGGTCGCCAGATGAGGACAAACTTGGCTATTCCCGGGAAGGTGGCTGGGGTGGGCACAAGGAAGACTCCAGAGGGTTTGGCCAAGACTCGGTAAACAGGGCTATTGTGCAAGACAACCCTGAGAGGGCTCAGCTGGACTCCCTGCTCGCCAACCTGAATACCTCGAACACAAATACAGTACTGGAAGGCTCTTCTCTCAGGAGATGGCTGGGCATCCAAAGGAGGCCTCTCTTCACACCACACAAGCTGGTCCCCGAAGCCACAAATGGAGACAATCCGAGCACGGGCTCCATGGCACAGTTCCAGACTCTGCAGCAAGTGCCATCCCGCGGTGGGCACAAAGCGCCAGACTTCGGTCCTGCCTTGCTCCCAAATGATCACCAAGACCCAGGAGACAGTTGTGCCAAGGCTTTCCAGGAAAAGTAGCTCCACCACGGGGGGCTGAGGTGGCTTCCAGGTCCTCTCCAGGTCCCCTCCATCAAGCCCCAGCCGCTGGAAAGCCACCACGCGAGCCTGGCAGGCCGGCTGGTTCCACAGGAAAAGCAGATGCTGCTTGTCAGGGCTGGTCACGATGCGGCTGGGAGGCTCGCCAGAACGGCGCTGATCCAGCAGTTCCCTCAGGCAGCGGCCTCGGACAAAGTCGCTCCAGTCCGAGAGCTGACGAAGCTCCACCTCTCCCTTCATTTTGAGGCGTCCGGAGTGGCTGCCGACCACATAGGGCCGGGGAAAAGACCGACGAGCGGTAGCAGGCCCAAGCTTCACCGACCCACCTAGGCAAATGCGGAGTTGTTGAATTCCTGCATCTTGCAGGGGGAAGACAAACTCGGCCCTCGCAACTCTTCCCACCGATTCTAGCGCTCCTGGATCTCCGTTATTACGCGCCCCCTTTTCGACAAAGGCGTACAGTATATGCACTTCTACGCCCTTCCCTCCAGCTGCTAATAATCTTTCGCTTTAGTCTTCGCTGAAGCTTTCAAAACCCGCTCTCTCCACGTCGCCGCGCCCCGCTCCGCTTACGGTTTGGGGCTCCAGCTCCCTCCGCACTGCATACTCCAAGGTCTGCGTTGCCCTCTCTAGCTCACACGGGCTTCCGCCCGAGCTGCCTGCGCTCAGGCGAGTAGCTGTTTCTAGGCGCCTTAGCCCTCCCGGAACAGGCCAAACGCCGGGCTACGGCTCGATCCAGCCAGTTCTCCCGCAAAAGCTTGGGAGCGCGCTCAACGTAATCCGTCAGACCCGCCACAGTCCAGGAGTAACAGCGCCGAATTCCCTATTGCAATCACGAGGTCTTTCGTTTCCGGACTGAGGCACTCCCCTCCTGTACCTCGCACCAAATCCGAACTGCCTCCAATTCTTTTACTTCCGTCCCTGCCCGATGAGGTTAAACCTGACCGCCCCAATTAAGCTGCCTTTCCGCAGAGTGCAGGGGCTGGCGGAAAACGGGAACTAGAGTGCGTTAAAGGGACACTCGGCTTATGCGTTGGTCTTATAGACTATACAGTACTTTGGGGGTGTGTGTGTGGGGGGGGGCGGTGTTTGAAAAAACCCTAAAATCCTGCAGAGCCTGAAGCATAAACTTCGAATTGATTCAGATTCCAGAAATTGCTATTACTGCTAATGTTGAATGGAGCGTTATTGTTAAATCAGCAAAAATATTTAGAGAAAAAGAGGGAAAAACCCTTCCCTTTAACTAAATTTAATATAGAGACAGATATATTCCAGATCACCCAGAAATCTATTAATACCTTCTGCCCATGCCCGATGAAGAAAAGAATTACTGAATGAACGAATGAAGAGAGATGAAGATTTGGATTATGTACAAGCATTGGATTCTGTTTGACAAAATCTTGTTTTCTACTTGCATCTTAAAATGCTGGTTAGTCACATTTTTCCTCAAAAGTATTCATAGCACTGCTGCTTTAATTGCATTCAAGATTAGCAATTCTTCCTCTCACACCAATTGCTTCCCCTCCCTCCCACAGCAACATATTGCAGTATCTGTGCCTCTTTTCAGGACAATTAGATCAATAGGAGACCTGCTTTGGCATGTTGTCATGATTATAGGTCAACTCAAAGTTGTGGTCCAATCCCTTTTCTTCTGGTCACTAGCTGACATCCATACCACCATTTCTCCTGTCAAATAAAAGGGGTCTAAGAACTTTTCCCTGCTCCCTCACTTTTAAAAAAATTAAGTTCAGCACAGTGGGGTATATCATAATCTTTATATAATGATGTGTTTTAACCTCAGAAGCCCTGTGTCAGAGATCAGGATATTTATTTATTTATCATATTTATATAGCTGCCCATCTCACATTTAGCTGCAGATAAAACCCATCAAAATTGAATTTCCAATCCAGGCAATCAACTTTAGGATGATAATGTTTTTAGGTGACCCAGTGAGCTATGGGTGGCATTATAAGACAGAAGTGTAGAAATGGCCTTAAAATTGGCTTTTGGAGATTACAGCAATAGCACAATGGTCTCTTAACTATTTTGAAGTGTATATGGAATTGCAATCAAAATTTCTAACATGCAATGTATAAACAACTTGACCCATGGAATGGTAGTGGGCTAACTTATACCAGAAGTTGCTTCATATAAACACTTAGAAATACACCTTCCTGAAATAAGCATTACTTTTGAAAATGCACATATAGGATTCATGTGCACTTTTAAGCTCATTTACTTATTAGAATGCTCTGCTGAAATTGTCATATTTTGGGAGAGAGAATCAATGAATGTGCAGAGGATTGAATTGCCATATGTGCTGGTTTAGGGCATTAGGAACACATTCTGTTTTGTTCCATGCAACTACCTCCCTTTTCTCTCTTGTGAAGCATGGGAAAAGGAAGGATGAAGCCAATGGAAAGTCAGATGGAAGCACCTGGTTTTACTGACTTCTTGTTTTGCCAAGAATGGTTTGAATCCAGGACACGAACATTGATGCACCTGCATTTCTTCTTCAGAAGTAAACAAGGAGGGACAAAGACTGTTGGGTATAAAATGATATCCTCACCTAGAATACATTCAGGCTACAATCTCCATTTTGGGGTGACTCTGAACTACAGACCATAGCTGAAACATGTGGCTGAACTTTTGGATTCTCCTATTTCTCTCCATTTGATGCACTTGTACAGTAATCACTAGCCTGAAGAAGAGTCCTGGAGAAATTGAGAACTTCACTCTCCTGTAACATTTTGATTGGTCATAATAAAGTCTTACTATGGACCTTGGAGTTTCCCCTCCCCCAGCTTTATAAATAACGCTGGGATATTCAGAGCAGAGCCTTGAGATATGAATTAGGACATTCCTGTAAATCAGCATACTACAAGCAGGAAACCCCATGCTATCAATTTGTGCTGCATGTTGTGCACACCATTAATAGACTACACACAGCTCGGCAGCTTTAGTCTCCTAATGAATTTGCACCATGAGTCCGTGAAGAATTATGCATGTTGTAAGCCTACCACTGAAAATCAGCTCGTTACCACGACTGTGCAGTAATGAGATCCGTGCAATCATGCCAATTCGTGGCTTAGAGGATCAAGGATCCGCTAATTAAAATCCGGATCGTAGACACCGTACAGCGGAGTACGTTCCTGCTGAATTGGGACAAGGAATTCTTCCAAACGGAAGAAAATTCTTTAAAATTCCTACAGTGAAGCCCTGCTGAAGGACAATCTTTTTTTTGTTTCCTCTGGAATAAATCCCATTGTACTGTCAAGGAAAAAGTGTGTCCCACAATTGCCTTTGTTACTCAGCCTTTCCATCTGTGCAACCCAAAGGGTTAAAGAAACTAGGAACTCATTTTCCTTAATACTGTAACCCCGTAACGCGTCTTCCTAAAGTTAGTCTCTTCCCCGCAGTCCGCTCGTATTAGTAACTCGCAGGAAAGGACATCCCTGAGACGACAGTAGGCGGAACCGAGCTGATCAAGAATTATGCGCCTGCGTGGTCAGGAGAAGGTGGAGCGAAGGGTCTCTCGTTGACGCATGCGTTTTGGCAGGCGATCGCCCCGCGCAGGTAACAGTTACGTTCCTTTCCCACCCCTCAGAATCCGGCCTCCGTTGTGCCCCTGGTCGGTGTCCAAGCTGCCCTCGCTGATGAGGGCCGGGGGAGGGCGAAGCTGGGGCTAGCTAGAGGCGGTGATGGGATCGAGGAGGGTCAGGCAGCAAGGTGTAATGGGGGTGGAGGAGAGGGGGAGTGTTGGGGTGCAGCTCGGGATTATTTGAGGAAAATGTCTGTGGGTGCTTAGGCTATGTTCGCGAGGAAGGGGTCTGTTTTTCTGCCTCAATTTTTGTATACTTATAGTTGAAGAAACTTTTCTAGGACAGGAAGAGGAAAGCCTAACTCGCTTGTAGGTGAAATAAGTCCTGTGCCATTGATGAGGCAGCTTTAATCAATGTTCCAAGTTATACCGTCTGTTTCTTTCTCGATGTCTTGAACTACGGTACCCATAAGCTCTAGCCAGGATGATCACTGATCAGAAATTATGGGACTTGAAGTCCAAGCATCTGCATGGACGCCAGGGTACTTAATATATGCCTTCCCTTTCTGAGGCTTTCAGTTTTCTGCCCCCTTTGCTGAACAGGACAATGGTGGGCACTTGGTAGGGGTAGATTTACTGCAGGTCCCCTTGGTAGTTGGCAGTCAGTCAGACCCCTCGTTGTTTCATAGTAACAGTAGTAAAATAATTCTTCCCCCTCTGAATTTTGCTGCTGAAATGAAGAAAGTTTACTGGATATAACTCAGAATCCAGAAGGACTGTGAACTCTGTTAAGTTCTGATAGAGTAATAAAATGAATGCTTGGACTTGAACTCTTTCCATTCTAAGCCGGCGTCTTTTCTACCATGCCCCAGTTGGTAGATTGCATGGTTCTAGTAAAAATAAAGTATACATATGTATGAAAACTGTCCACTGTGTTATAAACGATGAAAGATCTATCTGAAGATAGGAATGCAAACTGTTGCCCAGATGGTTTTCTGCTCATGTGGTCCTCTCATTCACAGCACTGTACAGTTTTACTCATTTCTGTTCCACATCTTTAAACAGAATGCAGAACTTTTCTCTCCTATTATGATTTGGAATGAAGTGCATAGTACAGATCACTTAAGGAAGAATCAAAGACTCTTTACTTGGTTTTTAGAAGAAGGAACCAGGGATCCTTGTCAAATTTTAGCATTTTATGTTTCTGTTTACTAATCACTCCATTCCCCCCTTTATTTATTTTTAAGAGGGTATGGACTAGACCATATTTCAGCCTAGCAAATCCAGCCAGACTGGCTGATTTATGGTTCAGTGTGTCATGTGGTTGATTAAAATATGGTTCAGTTAATTAAGGGGAAGTATGTTACATGAACATAATCATTAATATTCCCCTTTGAAAGTTGCAAGTATGTGGGTAAGATCAGTTGGTATTCACAGTTAATAGGGATTTAAATGCAGTTATATTGTATTTGAATCTGACATTGTTCACTGGATTACCTTACCCTGATTGCAAACTTGATTGAAGATTTGGTTTCCTGTTTTGATGGGGGTCTGGTTCATATACCATGATGTTAAGCCATGACTTTTGTTTAGTATGTTGCATGAAACTAGCCACATGGTTTGTAAACAGTGACTTTCTTTTTAGTTAATTCTTTATTTTAAAAAAAAACATGGTTAAGCAAACCAGGACTTAGTGTGACATAAAGTCCTAAACTTTAACATAATGGAGATTGGTTCAGAGAATATTCTAAAAACGTGAAACAGTTTTACTGCTAAAATCATGCATGATTGGTAATGTAAAGTGTCTAGACTAGAAGCTTCCTGGAAATCCTGTATAAGCCATTCTGAAGAACTGAGGAACAGCAGCCATTTATATAATACTTGTAAATGTTATAAATAAGACTTGTTTGCATGTATGTGACTGATATGCTGGATGTGCGTCACTTTTGGGTTGCTATTAGTGTCTACCATTCTTCAAAGATAGTTTTGCTTGATCATGCTAGCTTTTTCCATAACTCTTTACTATTTTTATACATACATACATACATACATACATACACACACTCTCTCTTCTATTTTTCTATTTTGAAGAACTAATAGACAAGCTGTTGGTATTCCAGATGGAGAAATCTGAGAATGCGAGTTACTGAAGCCCTAGAATGGCTAATGGTTAAATTTTAAATATTAATAATTTAAGAGTTGAGTTCTTTAAATCAAGCTTTAAGTCAAATTGAATGAAAAAAGCAACAGCTTTATTGCGTTTGTTCCTTTTCTTTCCTGTTAATGTAACATGCTTCAGATGCTTCATAAAGGGTCATAGTATCATAACCTTTTGTCATGACATAACATAATGAAAGAATCAAATATTTATTCTAGTGAGGATAGTTGCATTACAGTTTAAACTTTTATTGTTGAAAACTATACCAGACAGGCTTTTTTAGAGTGGGCTGGGGGAGAGGGGGTTACTTAATAATAACTTCCCTCAGAAGAAAATAATTCAATACCTCTGTTTCTGTAGATACACTCATTCTTGTAGATTTCAGAATGAGATATAAATGCCCTTTGCTCCCTTTTATACTGGGGAGTGGCTTTATGACTTATTTCGAGGTACTTATTTTGATATATTGCTTATTATGTTTCTTTAATTTCTTACAGTTAGTTATACTTGTACAAATGAGATCACAATGGGGTTTATTTAGGGACACGGGGACCATTTTGGTGATACAGATAATAATGGACTTAATTTTGTTCATGTATAGCTTAATTTGGCATAAAATGAGTTCCTGCCATTGGGTGAGATTGCAAGTATGATTAGCAAATAACACTTCTTGTAAAATAATATATCCAGACCATGACAGCGCAAGTAGAAGAATTCCTTGTCCTTCCCTGCATGGTAGTCCTTTCATCCCCTTATCCATGTTATCTGGAAAATTGTGGACCCTATTAAATGTGGTAAACTGTAACTCTGGGAATGGGGGGGGGGGAACCTCTTCCCAACATCTAAAAGAGGTTACTTCTATATGTAGTGCTCTGCTGTTTGAAGATGCTTCTGATTTTGAAGCCAAGGATAAGGCTGCTGTGGTAGGGGAGGAGGCAGGAAAGTCAGGAATGAGATTGCCAGTCCAGTTGGGTTTATCTAAATCTAAAAAAAATCCAATGTCTATGACAGATTCTTCCTTTTCACTTAATATGCCAACATTGGCATTTCCATTCATATCTGATGGCATTATATTGCTTTTGCTTCGATGATTGTAATGGGACAAATATGACTTTTGGGATAGTTAGATTATAGCCTAAAGTCAAATCTGAACATTTTCTTGCATTAACCCTAACAAAAGCAATTTTCTCCATTCTGGTATCCACCATCCCTAACCAGGGCCAGGCTAGCTATTTCTTGTGGATATTTCAGTCCAAAACATTTGGAAGACACCAGTTTTGGAAAACTGAATGGAGAGTGAACTTGGGAAGGTTCACATGGATGGCATGATATCTCTCACTCAGAGAAGATGACAACACCACACCACTTTGAACCAGAAGCATATTATTTTATCATCTATGATATAAATAACCCAGTCAGAGTATTCTGAGTGGATGTACCCAGTTTTGTGCTGCTGCTGCCCCAAAGACTTGATTCTGAGAGTGAAGGGGAGAGCCTGTTTCACCCCTGTGCCCAATTTCCAGATCTTTTACCCTATTAAAACTTTTTTTCTTCCCTTTTACTTTTCTGATTAGTGATACTTTATTTCTCATAAAACAGAAAGAAAATGGACTGTTTAAGAAAGAGAAAATATGGCTGACCTAACAGCTTTTGGTGACACAAATTTAAATGATTTTGCACTTACTAGATGTTCTTACGGGCTAATAACAGCAAGTCTATTAACCAGAAAGCAGTAAGATTCTTCATCTTCTTGGACCCCCCTTTTCCTCTTTTTTAGTAATGTTTTTAAATTTTGATGTTTTATGTATTTATATGTATTTATGGTTTTAATGTTTTGTGTGAGTCGCCCAGAGTCCCCCATTGGGAAGAGATGGGCGGGGGAGAAATTTAATAAAATAAATAAATAAATAAATAAGAGTACTGGAGATGAACTGACTGACTGGCCTGAAGTCATCTAATGTATATTGCAACAATGTGCTCCTTATTGTACATCTTGTTTCTTAAGTCTGATTTTTGCAGAAAATAAATCTCTGTGTGATGGTCTGAAATGGATGTTAGCCACTGAGAATTCTACCAGATAAGATCATTGTGCTATTTACTCCTTTATTTAAGTAGCTGTTGCACCCTCAGCTGCAGAATTATTGTTAAAGTTTATAGGCACTGTACATAACTTTGCTATATCTATGCTGTTCAATACATTATGTATTATATTTGGAGATACCACTTGCCATTCTGCTTTACCACTACATAAACACATGTGATTGGATGGGTGGGATGGCAAAAAATCCAAGGAAAGGGGATCAGTTTTAGAATTGGGTGAATTGGGGAGTACTGTGATTTGCTTTATTATTTTTATATGCACAAAAATACCTTTCATCTTTTCATTAGACACACTGAATAGTTCCCAGTCAAGCTTTACATGTTATGTTAGATATGATGTGCGTATCTGGACAAACTTAGTTCTGTGCATGTGTAGGATCTTTACACTGTCAAAGGTATACCTATGTGCTGCTTTTTTGCAGTAATTTACATGTACTGTTGAAACGAAGGTATGATGCAAAGTTTTGTTTATATAGAATTACCTTTCAAATACATGTGCGTTACTAAGAACCCTTAGATTATTTACAACCATAAATTCATAATGATAAAACAATATATGAAATATTTTTTTAAGGTGAAGAACGTTTACCAAATAAATAACATGTTTAAAAATGCTTCATTGACTAGTATAAGATGGCAAAAGAGTGACCACCTGAATTTCATTGGTTGGACAATTCTACAGTTTGGTTATGACCAGTTAAAATAGACTTTTTTCTTATCCTACTCCATTAAGTCACCACCACAGAAAAGTCACAGAGTGAGTGTTCTATTAAATTTTAGCAATTGGGTAGCTGGTATGGGAGGAAGTATTCTCAATTCACCCATATAACTATTCCCAGAGCTTCACTGGTTACCAGCTAGCTTCTGGGGAATTAAACATGTTGGATGTCATCTTTGAAGTCCTATATGGCTGAGGACCTGGGTATCTTAGGGACTGCCACCTTCCAGTTATATTTGTGCATTCACTAAGCTTAGGAAGAGTGGGCTCCCTAGGCATCCCTTTTCTCAGAGAACTCTATCACTAGGGACACAGAGGCAGACCTTCAATCTCTGTTTCCTTTCTTTGGAACAGCATGCCCCCTGAGATCCAAATGACCTCTACCTGCTGTGATTTAGGAAAGATGTTAAGCTTGGCTGTTCCTTAGGGGCAGACAGGTTATGAGGGTGTTCCCTTTTGCAGTGAGGTGTCTGTTTTATTGTTCATTGGTAACTCAAAGTTATAGTTGCAATTGTTATTTTGTCATTTAAGCATGATGAGCCCTTAGAGTTGGTATTGATTTGAGCAGCATATAAACCCAGTTAAAATAAAATAAGATACAATTAAAATAAAATACCTTTCTTTTTGACTTAGCCTGATGTATGAACTGACTAACCCATTAGGACTCAGCCTTATTTACAGACCACTCCATATGCAATATGGTGATTCTTATGTATATCTTACAATTTCATTTGTAGAAATAAAATGTATGTTTAAATGAGCTACTGTTGTTCTCTGAGCTACATGGGTGGGTTGATAAGCCTGTATTTGAATTTTCTTTTGCCATGCAAATCCTTCACACAAATTTATCTGCTGAAAAAAAAAAGCACTCTTTTCTTTCTTGATCCTCCTCTTCATTACAAGTGAAATAATTCCTACACAGATATAACAAATATAAACATTACATATGTCTAACCTTTTTTGGTATGTAAAATATAGGCATCTATTATAGTCAGCTTTTTTTTGTGCACCTTGCACCCCATGTAGGAAAAATATGTCTAAACTAGGCAAGGAGCTATGATAGTTATTACTGTATTATATAGTAAGTACAGTATAGGGTGCTTGGTGAGATCTGAGAAATTGCAAAAACATTCAGGAAAAATTTAGAAAGGTGCAAAAGCTGTGGAAATTTTCTTAGGATCAGTTTCTTTGATGTCTACCATATCTTTCAATCCACAGGTTGTAAGCCATGGCACAATCTGAGAAAAAAGGTGGATTACTTCGGAAATCTTCATCTAGTAAGAAACCCTTGAAGGAGAAGGTGGTGTTAATGTATGATGAGATCTTCACAGTAAGCACTGGATTTATTTTTCTTTCATCATGACAGTCTTCTGTATTCCAGTATTAGTAATATCTTGTACTATGAATGAGAAAGGAAGACTAATCTTCCTTAGTGAAATATTTCTTGGCTCACTTTCTTGGGCACATTATTACAAAATAGCATAAGGGTAAACTTGTTATATTCAATTCAGCCATTCTCTTTCAGACAGAAGATCCCAGTAAATATAACCCTCGGTTTTGGGAGGAGCTCTTCCTCATGAAGGTAATATACTAAAGGTTGAAACCATTTCTTTATGTTTACTCTTACAGATATCAATTTCTAGTTTTTCTTGTCCTCAGTAATTTCACAAATTGGCTTAAGCTCTACCTCTTGTCTGTCAGGTGAATTTGGAATATCTGGAAGGGAAGTTGGAATCTCTGGATGGTGAAGAGCTAATGAAGATAAAAGATAACATTAATTGCTTGTTCCAGCGTTGCATCTGGGCTTTAGGAGAAGAGCATCCGATCCGAGTGGTCAATGCATTACAGGTGCTATAAATTTCCTTTGGCCTTCATTAAGCAAAACTTATGAACTAACAACTAATGATTGGTTATGTTAGTTAATGAAGGAATTAGTCTGCATTATTGAGGTCTGCTGAAATACCTGTTGGTTCAGTATACTGGATCAGGTATCCCTTCTTAAGTACTTTAACATCCTAGGCAATGATAAAATCTTTTCTTTTTTTATTGTTAGATGATTCAGGAGAGCTTAACATGTTATAAATTTTGGAAGAATATCAATAAGAAAACTATAGGTGAAGCCAGTGAAGTTCTTCTGCCCATGACACTGTTTCCCTTAGTGAGATCTTTCCTATCTGCCTATGGAGGTCAGGTTTTTGGTTTGCTTGTTTGAGGAAGGGTTCAGTGGAAAGGAGAAAGTCCTGTTGTACAAGTGAACTTCTGCTCACACAGTATTGGATTTACAGTATTGAAATTCACTCTAAGTGATCTGGGGTATCATACTATTAAAAGGTAAAATACCATAGATTTAAATTTCTGGGTTTATAATGGCAGTTTTAAGTGCCCAGGAGGCTTTGTCTCACAGTTCCTGCATGTGTATGTGTTTTCTGCTGCAGACACTATGTGCACTGATCCGTGGGGTCCATCAGAAGAACAAATCCACATCTGGCTTTGATATCATCAATATGCTGATGGGCTTTGACAAAGCTGAACTGTGCATGAAGGTGAGAGCATGCTATATAGAAATAACAGGTTTTGTTTTCATTCTAATAACATGTATGTTATGTTGACTTCTCAGCTAGCTAGATGATGTCAGGAAAGCATGGATTTTGGGGAGGGAGAACCCCACCCATTTTGAAAAGCCCACCATGGCCTGTGGCTGTTCTCCCTCCACTCTGCAGTGCTTCTTTTCTCCTGTGCAGAAGGAAGGGGTAGAGTGGGGAGAGAGGCATTGAATCCTCCTGCACAGACAGGAAAGAGTTGCCATTCCTGTCACCTAGAGCCTGAAAGTTCTTTTTCAGTCCCCAGTCCTAAGAGAAGAAAGTTTCTCAGCCCCAAGGAAGAGAAAAGCAGTCCCACCTGGAGAAGAAACCTGGCTTTATTTGGTTTGCAGGCTAGATTTTCCTCATCCCTAACTTAAGTTCTGGTCTGCCAGAAATTCAAAAATAGACATGTGTTCAGTTAGCAGAATAGTCTGTAGATAGAATAACATGCTTCTCCTTTCTTTTCCTAGGCCTCCTGATACGCCCTAGCCTAGATACTGACAAATGTATTTGTCAAGGAATTAACAGAAAATTACAGCATGATAACAGCTTCTTTAACATTACAGCATGACCATAGAATAGCATGTAGTTAGGTTCTTTAGGCATAAAATAAATAGTGTGAATAAGAAGTATATTAGCTAATCAGCTTGAGTTAGATTTTTACTATCTCCTGCACAAAATACAGAAGCACAGCATTAGTGAGGGTTAAAAGGAATGTGAGCTTGCAACAATTTATAATAACTACTCTCTTTTCTAGAATCTGATGGAGAGTTTGGATGCGTTACTTTGTGCAGAAGGCTCTGAAAGCCTCAAAAGTTTGTGCCTGAAACTATTGCTTTGTTTGGTGACTGTAAGTAATAGATAATGGGTGGGTTAACTATAAACAAGTATTTACTATGCAGACATGGGAAATGTACCTTTAAACTATTATAAGCTGTTGCGATACTGTAGTAATCAGTATAACATGTTTTACAAATAAATACAATAATAGATTAAACTTGTATGCTGCCCGACTCTCAGCAACTCTGGGCAGCTATATTACAGCCTTCTAAATTAAGATTTTTTGATCTAACTATTGTATTAGATATATTAATTAATTATGAATTTCCTGCCTCAGTTATGCTCCCATGTCTAGGCCCTGCTTTAATTTTTTTAAATGAATGCACACAATATGAGCAGAATACCCAATTTTGGTCATCCAAACCAAAAAGAAAGTGGAAGTAATTATGAAGAAAGACAAGTGGGTGAGAAGTAAACCAAACTAAAACTAATGGAAATATAGGGACTTCAGCATTATTTATATTAAACAGCATTAACATGGCTTCAACTCAATTTAATAATCTCTAGCATTCCTTTTACCCATTGTTCAGAAATACAACAGAGGTAAGAACTCTGCTGGTGATACTTCCAATATTAAATATTGATCTCACTGCTACCAAAGAAATGTTTTGGATCCTTGAAATTTGCTGTTTAGAAAATAGTCATAAAATGGACTAAAGCCCTGAACAAAATTATTAAAGGAAAATTGTACAATGAAGGCAAAGTAACAGTCTGGTACTAAACAGAATGTTTACAGTGTTTCATGCTGTGCCCAAAATCCATAATCTTGGGATAACAATACATATGTATGAAACACATAACTTAAAGAATTCTTTATAGGAGAGTTTAATAAAAGATACAATTGAGAGACTTTTTTTCAAACTGTTAGATCATGACATACACAGATTCATTGATAGCAAATGATAAGAATGTTTGAATTATTTTGGAACTGGAAAACTCTAAAAATCCCTAATCCTTTGATTCTACTAGGTGACGGATAACATCAGTCAGAACACAATTCTGGAGTATGTGATGATTAATAGCATTTTTGAAGCTATCTTACAGGTACGTTTCCTTATTCTCCCTTATCTCTGGGCTGCTAATCTTTGATAAAGCATTTCTATACATCATGCATTTTTGGCTGCTTTGTTCTGCCTCCATCTGGGCGGGAGTAGCAGGGAACTAGAATAGGATTGTCAGGAGTGAGAGGGACAAGGCGTCTCTTTTGCAGAACTCCTGTAATACATACGGCTATGTGACTATGTGTCCATGGACCCTAACCTGGCAGCAGATATAGGCCTTGGGACTGAAATGGTTGCCAGCACACTTGCCATAATTATACATACACTTTCCCTTCATGTTGCTTAATTGCAAATATGAGATAATTGTAAGCAATGTGGTAACTTCTCATGCTGGTAGGTAACTTTAGTTACCTTTAGTAACTTTAGTAACTTTGTGCAAGAAGAACCACATAGGATACTGAATCTAATTCCCTAGAATAGTACTGAACATCTAAGTCTGTACCCATCTGTACCCCTCAAATATGCTCATTATTTTTCAGGCAAGAATTTGGTTTCACTTTGTGCTTTCTTCATGAAAGAAGACAATTTAGCTCTATTCTAAGCTTATAAGATTCATTTTGGCTATAGGAAGTTTTCAGCTCATCATTCTACATGTTTCTGAAATCACCCATCAATGACTTCTTGAAATACATAGTTTTGATTAATCTAAGCTTTGTCTTGTCTTATTTTTAGATCCTTTCCAATCTTCCCAGTCGCAGGGAACATGGTTATGAGGCTGTTGTCTTGCTTGCATTATTAGTGAACTACAGAAAGTATGAGGTGAGTGCTTGACATGGAGTGTGAGGTTTTAATCTGGTGGAGCTGTGAAACCAAAAGAAGTGGGGACAGACATTCTGTCTTTCCTCCATGGAAAGGGCTCTTGTTCTTGGTGTTGCACTGTGTCTTGGGAGTATAATGTGCATGTGAGGACTATTTCTACATCTTTGTTTGGGAGATTGTTCCAGCAATAGTTTTGCATATCAGGGGCATTCCAAATGCCTTTGAAGTTCAGTGTGAAAATTACCCCAAGCTCTTTTTTCTAGATTGGAGGGGACTGGGGGTCATTGCATTTCCTAATTTCCTAGAAATATGTGGCAGCTGCAAAGTGGTCTCTTTCTCCCTGCTGGAAAGGCTGTTTGTTTGCTTCTGGTATGTTTCAGAACTACAATAGCAACACTGTACAGCAAAACATAGCTGGAGGGAGGGATCATTCTCATTGTTCTCATTATTGTGTTATGTTTCACAAATATGAACATCCATACAATTTACAATGGGAGATGAACCTGCTCCTTTTTCTAGATTTAAGGTTGGCAAAAGAGGTGTAGATTGTTTCATTCAATTGATGGTGATAGAATATAGTCCCGAGGAGAACTGAGGACTTGTGTCCTGGTGTTTAATAACAAAGTGATAGTAGTATCATATTAAAAATATGACAACAGCTTCTACTGTATTTTGTATATACTTCAAAAATAATTTATGCTACTGCAACATACATTGTGTGGGACAGCCTTTGAAGAAAACTTTCAAACTACAGTTGGTCCAAAATGCAATGGTCAAGATGCTAACTGAAACAAACAGGAGTAGCTGCATGACCCCAGCGCTCTGGTTGCCATATTTGTTTCCAAGCCCAATGCAAAGTGCTGGTTTTAATCTGTAAAATTCTACATGACTTAGTCTCTGTTGACTTACAGGGCCATCTCTCTCTGAAATAGATTTGGTTTGCCCTATCTAAATACCCATCTGGAACCTCAAAAACGCTTTGTTCCTGTTTTTCACTTTTCTCTTGTGCCTGTGCCTTTACCTGCCCAGCTTCAGCTACAGCCGGCAACTCCTCCGCTGCCGCTTCTTGTTTTATCTGCGGAGAGGGGGGTGCATGGGCTGCTTGCTCTCTAGCTAAGTCTGTGTATGAAGGCAGAATGACTTCTGAATTTGCATGCAGCCC